TTCCTTAAAATAAAAAAATTACTATTATTTAAAAATAAATTTTAAATAAAAAATATCAATTATTCTGGGATAGGGGGAGAGTAGACTAATTTTTTTGTTAGAACATATTTACTAATAAGTATAAGACAAAATTTTAAAATAAAATAAAAGAAACTTTCAAAAGTTGAAAGTTGAAACTCAATATGACAATATATGATTCATATAAATTGAGTTAATATTGTTTTTAGTCTTTATCAAAAAGTTAATGGTCTTTTTGTCATCAAACTTTCAATGATGAGAGGAGTATTGTAGTTACTTGTGTCGTATTGCCAACGGAGTCTCTTTTTTCTCTTTTTATTTGTTTTTTATTTTTTATTTTTGAAGTTGTTGGGTTCAGGTTGAAGGAGATTGGCAATGCCGTACTAGAATAGTGAGGTTTGATACTAGAGAAATGACATAGAAAACATGAGAACCTTTTGTTTTTTCTTTTTTCTTTTTCTATTCAATTCAATTGTGGACTTTGAGATAAGTGTGTTTTAAATAATAATAAATTGTTAAATTGTTAAAATAGATAATGAATTATATAGATTATATTTAAACTCCTAAAACAGCCCATTATTATTAGATTTTTTTTATTTTATGTATTTTAATAATTAAAAGTACAATACTTAAAATTTTAATAATAATAATTAATAAATTATATATATATATATATATATATTCCAAATCCCAGTGTCTCCATGTTGCTCCGCCCGTCTTAGTTACCGGTGTCTAGCAAAGCAGCATAAGCAGCCCCCTCAATAGAATAAGTAGTGCCATCAACTGTGGATGCGGCGTTCCAAAGGATTAGGCCATTTGGGGAAGTTAATGTGAGTTTGCCATCTCTAGTAAGCTCAACCTTTGATCCCTGTGATGCTGGATTATCTCCATTTGCATACCAAACAGTCGTTCTATTGGGAATTTTGTCAAACCAAATGGCCAGCAGGAACTGGTCTTGATTCTGAAGCTGGTAAAATCCGAAGGCAAAATCACCAGAAGGAGATTTCCATGAAGGTGAATCTTTAGAAGACACAAGGTATGATCCCAAAGTGATATTAGATGTCTGAGAAACAACAAATGTTGGAAGAAACAGCAACAAGAAGAAGAGTTGGGAGAGGGAATGAAAAGCCATTGCTGTTCAAGTGGTTCTACGAACGTGGAAAGAAATTTATAGAATGAATGGCAGCATATTGTCAAAGGAAAAAGAACGCGGCTCTCCAGGCTATGGAATCCACTTGTAATAGTACAAAATTTCATTTTCTAAATAAATGAGGTCTTAAAAGCTTATTTTACTTGTCCTTCAATTGCTCCTTAATTAGCGCTTGACTAATTGACTTACCATATCCCTCCTATCAAGTTAAGGGGGTCTTTGGATGGGAAAGAAATTTTTTCTTTT